AAAAAAAAAAAGAAAAAAAAAATGAGTCTATGGGCTTGGCTCCCTGTATCACAGTGGTTATATAGCACTGGCCACATGAACCAAGGGTGGTAGGTTCAAACCCAGCCCAGGCCAGCTAAACAATGACAACTACAACAAAAAATAGCCAGGCATTGTAGCAGGCGCGTATAGTCCCAGCAACTTAGGAGGCTGAGGCAAGAGAATCGCTTAAGCCCAAGAGTTTGAGGTTGCTGTGAACTGTGACTTCATGGCACTCTACCAAGGGCAACATAGTGACACTCTGTCTCACAAAAAAAAAAAAAAAAAAGAATTGAGTCTACAGCCAGGCAGTGGCTCACGCCTGTAATCCTAGCACTCTAGGAGGCCAAGGCTGGTGGAATGTCTCACGAGTTCAAGACCAGCCTGAGCAAGAGTGAGAGCCCATGTCTAAAAATAGCCAGGCATTGCGATGGCACCTGTAGTCCTAGCTAGTTGGGAAGCTGAGGCAAGAGAATCACTTGAACCCAGGAATTTGAGGTTACTGTGAGCTATGATGTCACAGCACTCTACAAGGGCAACAAAGTGAGACTCTGTCTCAAAAAAAAAAAAATTAAGTCTACTTTGTCTGAAGGTTTGGTTTTCCTATAGGAAAACTGAAGAGAGATGGCATAATAAGGCTCCTATGAGAAAGTAAGTTAGTTAGTCTTTTGTCAGCATCAGTTTTTCTTATTGGGAAACAAAACTGTAAGCCTGTAGCTATCAGTGTGGTAATTGTACCAGAATATACAGGGCCTTAGCTCATTTTGAGCTTTCAATAGGAACTTCACAGAAGTCCTTAGTCTAATTAGCATGAGCTATAAATGAAATAAGTTACAGAAATTACCCAGCTGCTTCTCTCTACCACAATGGAAGCAGTTTGTATCCTTGCGATTGAGCAGCTGAACACCATTCCCCTTCTCTCTCATGTGTGTCTAGGTCCCAGCAGAAATTAGTCTTCTGTAGAAGGAAGGCAACCATAGATCTCTATAGAAAAATTCTTTCTAACTTAGAGGGCGCAGACACACTAAAAGCTTATCTAGGAAGAAGGCAACACAACAAATACCCAGAGAGGTAGCAGAGTGGCTGCTCTCACTGCCCACATATTATACTATTCTTTTGGCCAAACTTCTACCGTGAAGAAGAGCCAGGGGTTAAAATTTTAAACTATTCATTGTTATATGCTACATGTTTTCTTTCTCCAGACTCTTTATCCAGACCAAGACGAACAGTATTCACTAGAGCCATTGAGGGCCGTGAATTACATTGGCAGGATAGCCACCTACAGCAAATAATCAGCAATGATATTTATACAGCACCTGCCTGCCAGCGGGAAAGTGAGAGACTACTCTTTAATTCCCAAGGCCAGCCACTGTGGCTTGGTAAGTCTATCCCTCTTGTACTCAAAAAATTTCAGAGTTCAATCTCTTCTCTTGCCAGGCTCAAATAAGCCATCTAGATATGTACCAGCAATTCCAGCTACAGTTTGGACTCAAGGATATTTATATGACACCTAAGCCATTTGATTTTTATTTTTTGGACTATACTGATATGTACTTGTGGTACATGTCTGGTTTATAAAAATTAGGTCAACTTAAGGAGGTGGTCATGTAGGGAAGTGGTCAATTATGGAGATTCTACTGTAATAGGTTTTCAGAAAAGGTAGGATTCATTAAACAAATGTGACTTTTCCTTTTAGGATAGTGGTTCTCAACTGTCCTAATGCCACAGCCTTTTAATACAGTTCCTGTGGGTCACAACCCACAGGTTGAAAACAGCTGTTTTAGGCAATTAGCTGCTCTCTTCCTTAGGTTCCCATAGTAAGTGTTCTACTATGGTACTAGATTTTATTATCCTAGTTGTGTGTCTTATTCTATACCATACAAGCATGCTAAGGCTGTGAGGCAACTCTTTTAAGATAGAACCTGTGATTTATTCAACTTTTTATGCCCTTAAAGATAAAAACATAGTTCCTGGTGTACTATAGTTGTCCAGTTGAATTTGAGAACTGGACTAAACATGAATTCCCTTTATCAAGCACAAATTTTCCTGATTTGAAATAGTAACTCAACCAGAATTTTTTCTTCTTTGGTAGAGCATGTGCCTACAGCCTGTGCTCGAGTTGATGCCCTACGTTCCCACGGTTATCCACAAGAGGCCCTCAGACTCACAGTGGCCATTATTAATACCTTGAGGTTGCAGCAGCAACGGCAACTGGAAATCTATAAGCATCAGAAGAAAGGTATAGTGATTATACCTAAGGCTACCCAGGATGTTGGGAGGATACAAGACCCAGAACTTAATTTTCCTTTTTTTTTTTTTAAGTTTAAAAGTGATGTTTATTTAGTATATGGTAAAAGCTCCATAAGTACTAGAACTTAATTTTCATTAAATATTATGGTGTGGCACAGGCTAGGGAATTCTAGGTCATTCCACATGCTGTGGGGAATGCTTCACTTTATCTCTATGAATCTCAATTTTCTTACAGGTAAAATGGAAATAACACCTTCCTACCCTTCCCACAAGGCAGTTGGAAGGCTCATTAAGTTTTAGTATGAGAAAACCCTTTTAAAACTGTAAAGGAGTACCCACTTATGCTGAACCAGCAGGCAGCCTAAATACAGACCACAAGACCTGGCAGCTAGCTGGTATGCTTATGGCCAGTCCTATAAATCCGGGGCAAGACTATGAGGGAAGCTTTTCTTTGACTCTCAGGGTCAAGACCTGAATAATAAGGAGAGGGACAGAGGATAGGCGGGAACAGGGAGCAGTGTGTGTCCATCACTCTCTAAAACTTTGACTTGCTTGTTTCCAGAACTGTTGCAAAGAGGAGCCACAACCATCACAAACCTAGAGGGCTGGGTGGGCCACCCCCTGGATCCCATTGGCTGCCTGTTTCTTACTTTGACTGAAGCCTGCCGACTGAATGATGATGGCTATCTGGAAGTGTCAGGTACAGGGGTCAGCCCAAGACAGGCCAAGAGTACCTTGGATGACCCTCTATTCCCTGCCAGACTCTGCTCTCCCCTTCTTGAGGCGTTTTATTTTGCTCTTGGCCAAACTGGATCACCCCCTGAGAGGTTTTCTCAGGCCCCCTCTTTTTCCCACCTTTCTTTCCTGTGGTCTAGTCTTGTCCTACTTTCCCATTTTCTCTTGCTAGCCTTCCTTGCTCCTCTCTTTTGCTTACTGAAAATTAAAAATGCCTAAGATGAGATAGAGGAATTTCAGAAGAGGCTAGAGCCTAGAGCAGTCTGAAAGTGGAAAATAATTTCTACCAAGAGTGTGTATATCTCTTCCAGTTGCATAATACTTTCTGGTTTCTTTTGAACCTCTTCCCTCTTAGTGGTTTTGTACCAACTTTATAAATGAGAAGTAGAGGGTAGTAACTTAACAGAGTCTCAAAGTAGCCAGGACTACATAGAAACAGAATTGATTTTTTCTTTCCTTTATGCCATTACCATATTGTATTCGTATATCCACTTTGGTATTTAGCACATTAGATTACAGTTTGTTTATAGGTGAGTATTTCTTAGTAGACTATCAGCTACTTGGAAACAGAAATTAAGATTTACTTTGTGATCCTAGCACTTACTGTAGCACCTGCCATTTATAGTCTTCCATAAATACTTACTAGACGGATGAAGGAGAAAAGAAGGGAAGTTAGAGTATAACTTCATCCTGAAATTATTAACCCAGTGGTAGAACAATAATAACATAGAAGTTGCAAGTGTTACAAAAGTAATAATTTAACTAGATGGATTCAGATTTCCCTGGGTAGAGATACAAATGGTGGTAGCTGTTATCTTCCCTCTGATCCCCTACAAAGAGAATCATCATCTTTGGTCCTTTTCATCTATACAGGGACATTTATATCTTGAAAACATGAAGTCACACTTGGATTTACCAATTTTCCACTTATATATATTTAGCTTCGTCCTATGCCAGGTCCTGGTGATACCTAGAGCAACAAGATGGTCTCATCCCTTTAAGGTGCTTACACTCTAGTAAAAGGGACAGACAGAAAAACAAATAATTATATATTGTGCTAGCAAAAGATAAGTATAAGATTTATACTTCCCCAATTAGCTAGACAGTTCATATGTTAAGAAAAGGGTGGGGATCTTTGTGACTCTGTGTAACCTTTTTTCAGTATATTTTCCTTCCTCTTCTGGGGTTCTGATTCAGCTTTTCTGTAATAGCTATTGACCAAAGGTGGGAGGAGAGAAAGAAGAATGTGCTGAACCTGACCTACAGAACCTCATGCTCTGTTGCCCTCAGATATGAATGAAAGCAGACCCCCTGTGTACCAGCATGTACCTGTAGCTGCAAGCTGCCCAAACAGCAGTGAGTCCTACCTATCATTGGCCCTAGAAGTTGCTCTGATGGGCATGGGTCAACAGAGGGTGATGCCTGAAGGCCTCTATGCACAGGACAAGGTGTGCCGAAATGAGGAGCAGCTCCTAAGCCACCTTCAGGAGCTGCAGCTTGATGATGAACTAGTGCAAACCCTGCAGAAACAGTGCATCTTACTGCTGGAAGGTAAGTAGTGAAGGGCCTGTCACAGTGCCTTTGACCTGTGACCCTGGGCTCCCTTCTCTAACAGAGTACAGGTATGGGAACATTTATAACATTAAAATGCAGGGAAGGTTCCCATGGTTAGCAAGCATGCATGGATACTGGGGCTAAAGTCCAGGCTGGCAAATGGAAGCATACCCCCCAAAAAACCCAAAAAACAAAAAATAATTCTGGCTTATCTTCTTCCTACAGGAGGCCCCTTCAGTGGTCTGGGAGAAGTCATCCACCGAGAAAGCGTTCCCATGCATACCTTTGCCAAGTATTTGTTCTCAGCTCTGTTGCCTCATGATCCAGACCTGTCCTATAAATTAGCCTTACGTGCCATGAGGTGGGTAATCCTTTCCTGGCATAGTTGCCTGCACCAAACCAGAAGTCTCTAGTGTTCAGTTTCTTTGTTTATCCCACTCTCTTCTCTTTCCATCTTTGTCTATCCCACTCTCTTCTCTTTTCTTTGTTTATTCTCTTGGACCTGCCATCAAGCTTACCTTAAAATGGCTCAAATATTTTTATATAATGTAGGATTCCTATCTGGGATTCCTTGTTGGTAACCCAGTTGGCTCCCTGGCTTGTGATTGATTGTCTGAGGAAGCCCCTGAAATATTAATAGATATGGAGGACACAAGCTCTGAGTCTCCCTATTCTGGGAGTCAGCCAGGCCAAAAAGGTGTATGAGCCCTTCCATGGCTCAACTGAGACATGGTGCCCAGGCATGGGTCCCCAGAGGAATCTAAGGAAAGTATAGATAAATGTGTTTACCCCAAGATTTGAAAAATGAACTATGGGCATCCTGTTTACAGACTAGTATAGGAGCCTTGGTTTAGGCAGGTAAACTTGTGGGATGCAGCAGACTAAATAGAAGAAAAATTTTACTTAGACCCATAAGGTTATGAGAACTCATCTAAAACAAGAAATTGCTTGACATGTATTTCTCATATTTTATAAATAACCTTACAGCATTTGAACTGCCTTTCAAATCCATTTGGAGCTTGATTTCTGCAACTGCTCAGGCACTCACCTCACATGGAATATAGTACCATAGATTTAAAAATCTTTAAAGCTCTTAACTAATACTTTCCTTTCCCCCCACTTCCTCCCCTGCAAAGAGCAAGCTTCTCTAAGGTACCTTAGAAGGCCAGGGTCTGGATAGTGGCTGATAACTCTTCCTGGGTCTTCTAGGTTACCTGTTCTAGAAAACTCAGCTTCTGCAGGCGACACTTCCCACCCTCACCATATGGTGTCTGTGGTGCCCAGCCGTTATCCTCGCTGGTTCACGCTTGGACACTTGGAATCACAGCAGTGTGAATTGGCCTCCACCATGCTGACTGCTGCCAAAGGTGAGCACCAGATAGACCTTAGGCTCCAGCATCCTCACTGTACCTGGCCAGCCATGACCTGTCAAAGACTTGTCCTGCAGTCTCCTGAAGAAGAGAAGCTATTTGTTCTTCCTCAACCATTTTAGAGAGATGGGGATTCTTACTTTGATTTCTGCTATTATAAAGAACACCTGGGCACAAAGCAAAACCTTTGCCCTAGTTACTAATTGTAGGACCCTAAGTATGAAGACTTAAATGACCTTTAAGTTAACTTCCAAACCTAACCTTCCATATGATAAAGTCACTTTACCTTTCTAAGCTTCATTTTCAAAATCTATAAAATGAGTATCATTGTCAGTGACCTGTCAGCTTCCTAGAGACATTGGAAGATCTAATGAAGTGATGACTAAGATAGAGCTTCAGAACTCTCTGCAGATAGGAAGTTTGTGATTTTTCCTTTGCCCTGAAAAGATAGGCAATCCAGAGTAATTCTCAGCCTTTTAAGCACACATACTGCCTGGTGGCTGTGCTGATTTCCCCACAGAAAAAAGTGAAAATAAGTCTTTGTATGAGAAGCTATAAAATACTAGCTACCATGGACTCTTGAGTATTTTGTACCAGAAAACTACATGGATTTTTGAAGCTTTTTTTTAAATTAAAAATAATTTATGTTGTATCATCTTCTTGCCAGAAAAAAAAAGAAAAATTTCATTGCAGGAAAGGCAAAAAATATAGTAAACCAGTATAAAACTGACCAATAAAAACCATACAGAAATTGAACAAAAGATATGATCAGATAGATAGTTCACAGAAAAGGAGATACAAATGACTCTGAGACAATTCAAATGCTTGCTATCACTTGAGAAACATAAAATTAATCCTGAAATAACACCTTTTACCAATCTTGTTGGCAAAAATTAATAGATTTGATAATAAGCATCCATGTAAGGCCAGGCGCGGTGGCTTACACCTGTAATCCCAATACTCGGGGAGGCTGAGGTAGGTGGATTGCTTGAGCTCACAAGTTTGAGACCAGCCTGAGTAAGAGTGAGACCCTGTCTCTATAAAATAGCCAGGCACTGTGGCAGGTGCCTGTAGTCCCAGCTACTTGTGAGTCTGAGGCAAGAGGATCTCTTGAGCTCAAGAGTTTGAGGTTACTGTGAACTAAGATGCCACAGCACTCTACCGAAGGTGATCAAGTAAGACTCTATCCCCCTCCCCAAGAAAGAAAAGCATCCACGTAGTGGGTAGAGTGTGCGGTTTACCATGAAAACTGATACTCCAATGCAATACTTCCAATCTGATACTCTGACATAGAGTATTGGATTCCAAGCAGGATAAGGAAAATGAAAGACTGCAGGTCCAAGCAAGTCAATGAACCTCAAGCATAAGAAACATGAAAACTGTACCAAGGCACATGATAGTCAAATTGCTTAAAACCAGTAATAAAAGAGAAACTGTTACTTTTTTTAAAGCAACCAGAGGGGGAAAATAATAAAAATTATACACAAATGACAAAAAATTAGTATTGGGGTAAATTTCTCATTAGAAACAATCTAAGCCAGAAGACAACAGAGAAAATCTTAAAAGTACTTTTAAAAACCCACAAAAACTGTCACCCTAGAATTCTATACCAGTAGAAGAATCTTTCAAAAATGGAGATGAAATAGAAAACTTTTTTAGACAACCACAATAGAATTGGAAATGAATAATAAAAGGATATCTGAAAAATCCCTCAGAGTTTTGGAAATTAAACCACATACCTCTCTATATTGATTCAGAGGCCAAAGGGGGTGGTGGGGAATCACAAGAACATTAGAGAATGTTTTGAACTGATTGAAAATGAAAGCACAGGGCGATGCCTGTGGCTTAAAGGAGTAGGGCACCAGCCCCATTTACTGGAGGTGGTGAGTTCAAATCCAGCCCCAGCCAAAAACTGCCAAAAAAAAGAAAAAGAAAATGAAAGCACAATATATTAAGATTTGTGGAATGTAGTTAAAGTTTTACTTTGAAATCTTTAGCAATGTCTACATTTGGAAAGGAAAAAGGTTTAAATTAGTCATCTCAGCTTCCACATTAAAAAACTAGGAGAGTTGGCTTGGCACCTGTGGCTCAAGTGGCTAAGGCACCAGCCACGTACACCCAAGGTGGCAGTGTATCCATCCACCTTGTATTCGATACACCTGGTGTATCGAATCCAGCCCAGGCCTGCCAAACAACAATGACAGCTGCAACCAAAAAATAGCCAGGCATTGTGGTGGATTCCTGTAGTCCCAGCTACTTGGGAGGCTGAGGCAGGAGACTCGCTTGAGCCCAGGAGTTGCAGGCTGCTGTGAGCTGAGATGCCACAGCACTCTACCCAGGGGGACAGCTTGAGGCTCCTGTCTCAAAAAAAAAAAAGGAAAGAAACTAGAAGAGAAAGAAAAACGAAACCCAAGGTAAGCAGAAGAAAGCAAATAATAAAGATCAGAGCAGGAATCAATAAAATAGAAAACAGTAAAGAAAAATCAGGTGGGCATAGTGGCTCACACCTGTAATCCCAGAACTTTGGGAGGTTGAAGTGGGAGAGTTCCTTGAGGTCAGGAGTTTGAGACCAGCCTGAGCAGCATAGCACAACCCCCATCTCTAACAAAAATTTTTTAAAGAAAAATCAATAAAACCAAAAGCTAGTTCTTTAACAATATCAATCAAATTCAAGTCTCTGTCTAAACAGATCAAGAAAAAAAGAGGTGAAAAACAAAAATTATGGCTCAGCACCTGTGGCTCAAGCAGCTAAGGCACCAGCCACATACACCTAAGGTGGCAGGTTCGAATCCCCAGCCCGGGCCCACCAAACAACAATGATGGCTGCAACCAAAAAATGGCCAGGCATTGTGGCGGGTGCCTGTATCCCACCTACTTGGGAGGCTGAAGCAGGAGACTCGCTTGAGCCCAGGAGTTGGAAGTTGCTGTGAGCTGAGATGCCACAGCACTCTACCCAGGGGGACAGCTTGAGACTCCTGTCTCAAAAAAAAAAAAAAGAAAAACAAAAATTACCAATATTGAGAGTGAGAAAGATGGCATCACTACAGACTCTAGACATTCAAATGATGATCAAGGAATATTATGAACAACTATGCCAGTCCAACAATATAAGATGAAATGGACTGGTTCCTTGAAAGACATAAACTACAAAATCTCACTCAAGAATAAAAATGAGGCTGGGAGTGGTGGCTCATGCCCATAATCCAAGCATTTGGGAAGGCTGACGCAGGAGAGTTGCTTGAGGGCAGGAGTTTAAGACCAGCCTCAGCAACATAGCAAGATCCTGTCTCTACAAAGATACAAAAAGTTAGTTAGGCATGGTGGCACATCCCTGTAGTCCTAGCTACTTAGGAAGCTGAGGCAGGAGAATCACTTGAGCTCAGGAGTTTGAGAAGTTGAGTTAAGCTATGATGATACCACTGCACTCTATTCTGGGACCCTGTCTCATTAAATTAATTAATAAAAATGAATTAGGTATATACCCAAAAGAATTGAAAAGAGGACTCAAACAGATATTTGTACACCAGTGTTTGTAGTTGCAGTTTTATTCTTCAACAGGTAAATGGGTAAACAAAATGTATGTACATACAATGGAATATTACTCAGCTATAAAAAGAAATGAAATTCTAAAGAAGAAAAAAAAGAAACGAAATTCTGATATGTGGTATAACATGGATAAACCTCAAAATGATGCTAATTGAAATAAGCATACATAGATATATATTGTATGATTCCACTTTCATGAAGTAGGTAAAATAGCCACAGTCAAGAAACATGAATTCTAAGCTAGTGGGTGAACATTTGAGGAGGAGGGGGATATTTACATAGTTTCAAAGTATCTCTTCACAAAATTCTTAGTGATCATAAAAGGAAAAATGTATAATTTATCATAGAGTAGAGAAACCTGGCAGATATCCCTCTGACTACATTGAGAGGTCACAGATAATATAAATCCCCAAAAAATAGAATAGAATAAAATATAGAATATAAGAGAAATATGTACAGACAGAATGAATAGAGAAACTAGAAGAATGGGGAGTTATTATTTAATGGGTACCCAGTATCCATTTGGGATTATAAAAAAGTTCCAGAAATGGAAAGTGGTAATAGATGTGTAACATTATGAATTTACTTAATACCACTGAATCTCTTAAAAATGGTTAAAATGATAAATTTTATGTTGTATATATTTTACCATAGTCCCTTTAAAAAGAATAAATAGAAATGAATTTCAAAGAAATTAAACTTTCAGCTAAAAACTTCTCCATAAAGAAAAATCCAAGTGACTCAGCACCCACAGCTCAGAGGTTAGAGGACCGGCTGCATACACTGGGGCTAGCAGGTTCAAACCTGGCCCAGGCCCACTAAACAACAATGACAACTACAACAACAACAAAAAAAATAGGCTCGGCGCCTAT